GCAGCAGCAGCAGCAGCAGCAGCAGGCGGAGCTTCTGCTGCTGCAGAGGGGTTCCTAGAAGAAGCTTCTATCATCCATAAGAGGCACCAGAGGGGCAGAGGGCGCCATCTGCTGCAGCAGCAGACGCCGCTGCTGCTGCTGCTGCGGCTGCAGCGGACCTGCCTGTGGTGTATATCCCCGCTGCTGTTGTTGCAAACTACGGCTACTTGAATACGAAAGCTTTTTTTACATTATATTTAAGTCCGGATGCTGCGTCTTCTGCTGCTGCTGTTGCTGCTGCTGCTGCTCGTGACTGCCGTTGCGGCTGCTGCTGCGGCGTGCTGAATCGAGCAGCAGCAGCAACAGCAGCAGCGGCAGCAGCAGCAGCACTGGACAAGGTATAGCTGCGTCTGCTTCAGCTAGAAAGATTCCAAAAAAGGTGTTTTACTGCCCTTTAGCATAGCGGCCTAATCGCAGCGGCAGCAGCTGCAGCTGCAGCTGCTGCAGCTGCAGCTGCTGTTGTTCAAACACAGCCCCAGGGGGCCCCCAAGCAGCAGCAGCTGCTGCTGCTGCAGTACACCGTTGCTGTCTGCTCTTCTTATAAGGTACTAAGAGTTCTTCTTTTACATATGTATACTCTAGAGGCTATTCGGTCTGTATTTACACACAACAACAGCAGCAACAGCAGCAGCAGCAGCAGCTAGGGCCGCAGCAGCTGCAGCTGCAGCCTCTTTACGTTAAGCCCAACCAACTGCTCTGCGTAGGAAGCAACTGCCAGTGCTCTTGCTGCTGCTGCTGCTGCAACTGCTGCCGCTGCTGCTGCTGTGTTGCTGCAGCAGGCGCTCCACCATCCACAGAAGCACCAGCAGCAGCAGCAGCAGCAGCAGCAGCTTCATAGAAACTCTTTCGCCTTACTATGAGTGGGAGTACTCCTGGGGGGGCAGAGCCCATAGCCCCAGCAGCAGCAGCAGCAGCATCAGCAGCACCAGCAGCACCAGCAGGTGTTGCAACGGCTCCAACAGCAGCAGCACCCACTGCTGCAGCAGCACCTGCTGGTGCAGCAGCACCCGCTGCCGCAGTAGCACCTGCTGGTGCAGCAGCACCAGCTGCAGCAGCAGCAGCGGCAGCTATGCCTGCAACAAAGGCGTCGAAGCCCCATGATGAAGGCTGCGATGCAACGCATGCACAAACAGACCCAGCAGCAGCAGCAGCAGCAGCACCAGCAATACCAGCAGCAGGAAACAATGCAGCAGCAGCAACATACACACCAGCAACAACGGCAAGCGCTGGGGCAGCAACCGCAGCAGCAGCAGCAGACACTGAATCAGCAGCAGCAGCATCAGAAGCAGCACCAGCACCAGCAGCAGCAGCACAAAAGGTTTCTGTTGTTACGCCTGAGGGGCTTGAGCGGCTGCTGAAGCGGCTGCACCCGAATGCTTCAGCTACACCGCAGTGCCTAGAGGTAAACCCTAAACCCTAAACCCTAAACCCTTGCTTAGTAGGTGTGGTTTGTAGCTGCAGCGAGCATGAAGCCGGCCAGCAGATCCCAGCGAGTGCCTTTAGGGTCTCCTAGGGTTTACGCGTTAGGGTTTAGGGTTTAGGCTTCATTTTTTGCCTCATTAGGGTTTAGGGTTTAGGGTTTAGGGTTTAGGGTTTGGGTGCAGGTGTTGACAGCAATGGCTGAGGAATACTCAGAGCAGTGTGGGCGTCTCTTAGCTCGCTTTGGCCGACGTTGGGGTTTAACTACGATAACAGTTCGTGATGCTAAGGTCTTCATAGGTAAACCCTAAACCCTAAACCCTAAACCGTAAACCCTAAAGCGTAGGCGTTGCCGGCAACACAGCCGGGCCGGGGGAAGCTGAGAGGGTTTCTACAAACGTTGCTGTTCTAGTTTAAGGGGTTTACCTCTGGCGGGTCAGGGCTTAGGGTTTAGGGTTTAGGGTTTAGGGTTTAGGGTTTGCGTGCAGAGCGGCTGTCGGGCTCCCCCGGCTGGAACTCAATCGAAGGGGCAGCAGCAGCAGCAGCACCAAAAGGCATTCTTGCTGCAGCAAAGCAGCAGCGGCAGCTGCTTGCTGCGTATGTGCGTGAAGCAGAAGCAGCAGCAGCAGCAGCAGCAGCAGAGTCACCAATGAGCTGCATTAGTGGCAGCAGCAGCAGCAGCAGCAACAGCATCAGTCCACAGGCCCATGCGCCTTCAAAGGCAGCAGCAGCAGCAGCAGCAGCACCTGCTGCTTCTGCATCCCCCATGCACACCAGCAGCAGCAGCAGCAACAGCAGCAGCAGCAGCTCGGCAGAGCAGACGCCCCCTAGGCCGCGAGTGCGTTTCTCTCCTATGAAATCTGCTGTTCCTGCTGCAGAGGTAGCAGCAACAGCAGCAACAGCAGCAGCAGTTACAGCAGCAGCTGGAACGCCAGCAGCAGCATTAGCAGCAGCAGCAGCACAAGCAAGAGCAGGAAGCAGCAGCGGCATTCTGCAGCTGCACACTCCACTTGAGACGCCTCAGCAGGCAGACTTAGCAGCAGCAGCAGCGGCCGGAGCAGCAGCAGCAGCAGCAGCAGCAGCAGGGCCTCCTTCACCTCTTCTTGCTGCTCCAGGCCTCACCACCCCTTTAAAGACGACGCCTCCTCCCCCAGAAGACAGAGCAGCAAAATACTACCAAGCTATTAAACACCCCACATAGCTAGCTAGCTAGCTAGCTAGCTGAAGTAGGTAGTTAGCTAGCTAGCTCAGTAAGTAGCTAGCTAGCTATTTAGCTCGCTGGGTGGGTAGCTAGCTAGCTGGCTAGGCAGCTGGATATGTGGCTAGCTCGTCGGGTAGCTAGCTAACTTGCGAGCTAGCTAGCTGAGTAGGTAGCTAGCTATTTAGCTACTTGGGTTTAGGGTTTACAGCTAGCTAGCTGCCTAGCTAGCTAGCTGGGTATGTGGCTGTCTATGTGGGTAGCTAGCCAGCCAGCTAGCAAGCTAGCTGAGTAGGTGGCTAGCTATTTAGCTAGCTGGCTAGCTAGCTAGCTAGCTAGCTAAATAGGACGGGCAAACGTCTTTGCCTGTTTTGTCTTCCTTCCTCCGGGAGAAACTTTTTTAGTTGCAGAGGCAGCAGCAACAGCTGCAGCAGCAGCAGATGCTGCTGTGCTGCTGCTGTTGCTGCCGCGCATCAATGATAGTTAACCGCCTGTGCCAGCATTCTGCCGATCCTGCTGCTGTTGCTGTTGCTGTTGCTGCTGCTGCTATTGTGGCTACTGCTACTGTAGCTGCTGCTGCTGCTGCACTGATAGCTGCTGCTTCTACGGACCCCTGAATCTAACCTTAAACCCTAAACCCTAGACAATAGTAAACCCTCAATATAAACCCGCGTAGCAAACCCTAGTCGTTTGTTTGTTTGTAATTAAACAGCTGCAAACCCTTTAGGGTTTAGGGTTTACAGCAGCGAAGCAGCAAAAAGAGACAAGTGCAGCAGCAGCAGCAGCAGCAAAGGAGACACAACGGTAAGTGCTACTGTGCCTTATGGGCCTTACTCCGCTCCACCTGAAACACAGCAGCAGCAGCAGCAG